CCCCAAAACCCCAAAACCCCAAAACCCCAAAACCCCAAAACCCCAAAACCCCATTAATTTTGATACCCTTGAAAGCGATTATTAGTTCTCACTATTGTCTTCCTTCTCTACAGATCTCTTCCGTTGGTTCTGGAAGTGAGCACTTGGCTGGGCAAGAGCGTTCTCGAGTTCTTGGTAAGCATCCTTCTGGATGTTTTGTGTGTTTTGGAGCTTTTTGATTAACTCCATTTCGATCATCTCCATTTGCATCACTTCTTTCTCCTTTTTCTTTGTTAGTCTCTTTTCTTTTTGAATTCGTTCTTCGAAATCTTTTCTGGCCTTTTCTAGCTTTTGTCTTTCAAGGTTATTTCCTCATGGTTTCAGCTTGTCTTAATTGATCTTTGACCAACATGGATTGTTTTTGTTTTTCTTCTAAATTTCTGCGCATCATCTCACTCCGGATTCTAGAATTTCGCTTTCCTTCTAGCTTGGTATGCTTGAATTCATGACGTTTGGCTGTGAACATGGCTTCTTTAATCTTTCCCTTCTCTGCAGCCCTCAACTTTCGCAACTTCATGACTCTTCTCTGGGATTTTTTTATTTTTATATTTTTGGCTTTAATATCGCTCATCTTCTTTTTAATCCGCTGTTCGTTCTTTCTTTTCATTTCTAGTACATCTTTCGCTCTTTTCCGAGTCTCTTCAATTTTATTTCCAAGTCCTCATTTCTTCTTGTTTGAGGAGGGCTATCCTATTGGCGAGCAATTCAGCATCTTTCTCAACCTGCATTCGTTTCTCCTTAGCATTATTCAAGGTCCGACTAGGCTTGCCTGATTGTGTAGCTGTCTGAAGGTTATTAGTGACTGAAACACTTTTCTTAGAACTATGCCTGGACATACTCTGGGCTCGCCCAGAGAGGCCTCCTGCTATATTTCTGTTAGTGCTTTTGGAACCGCCATTGGCAGAGCCAACGAAGGCATTAGGTTCTCCCTTGTTATTCTTAATATCGGGTAATTTTGTGTTATTATCTTCCTCTTGGTCCATTACTGAATTTATTTTTATATTCTATATCAATTTAAATTAAATATTAGGGGTTTTGGGGTTTTGGGGTTTTGGGGTTTTGGGG